ATATGCGCCTCTCTCAAGTACTTTGGTGATGGTGTACGGCCTAGATGGTTAATCAAAATACCGAATAATAGTATTACTGAATTGTAAAGTAGTGCCATAAATACTAATAGTTACAATATAAATATATAAAACCACCTTTACTAATTTTTTTTTTTCTAAATTTAAATAAAAGACAAGTTAGTATTAACTTAAATAAATAAAAATTGATTGGTTGTTCCATATATATTTATATTTTAAATTCATTGATAAGTTGTCATTTAGTAAATATAGGTATTTATTTTTTGTTTATTAAGTCTAATATTAGAATTTATTTGCACTATTATATCTGTTCAGGTCCTTCAGAATACAAACACCACGTACATGAGAAGGATCATGCTATAATAACAAATGATTGCTATAAAACTTAACATAATTCTTGTACCGAAAAAAAAAAAAATTAACATAATTCCCACATGATAAGATTTTGTGGTTCCTACATATCATATCAGCACTTCCTATATTTAGACAATAATATTGATGCCCTCCATTATGTTAAAATAATTTTATTCGTATGAGAAATATAGGATTAAATAATTTGAAAATATGGATAGAAAAATGGGGACAATTCACGTGGCTGCCAGCTGGAAGCTCCGTGACCCACTCTACCGCAACTTAAAAGAAGACCGCCCATAACGTACCTCGCGCCAGTGTTTGTGTGTAAACTAATCACATAGACGCACATATTCATGCACATTATGAGTATTATGCATGAAACACTACTACATGGCCTACAGCTATAAGGTAGTCTCGTGAAATAAGGTAACTTCTTGTCCTATTTTGATACTTTTCTCAAAGATTGAAGCTTGGTACATGGAGTGAGGGAGATACTTTTTACTATTATATATGCAATAAAAAAAAATGTGGATAAAGATATATATGGAAATATATGAAAAATGGTGGGGATATATCATATATGGGGACCCAAGGGTCACATGGAATGTAGTGCTGGGTTAGGGGGTATGCATTGCAATATGATTGAGGTAAGTAGGAATATGTACAGTCCGTACAGTGAGATTAGTACTTGCTATAATGTAACATTTCAACCTCTGATTTAGACAGTGGGTGTACTTGCTATAACCCTATATTAATATATAAGGTTAACTGTTCACGTTACAAGGTGAATATTCATGTCTCTAAATTGACATTTTGTGTCTAATTTTTAGGTACTGTTGGACTATGATTCACCTTGCAAGGTGGACCACGTATTAGTTGTATGGCCTCAACAATGACTAATAGACTTTAATAAATCCATGTTAACACCGGAATGTCGTTTGTTTTATTTTTGGTTTGATTGATCTTACACAGGAAATCGACTGTATGGATAGAGAATTGAGCTGAAGTTAAAATGTTGTGAACTAAGAGGCCACCAATAAAAGTTTCTTAAAAATAAACTTTATATATTCTTCTTTCGTTTTTAAACTATATAGAAATTTTATGAAGTCAACAGATGACTCATTGTTGGAGTCAATTATAACTTGATGTACTGATATCTGTTCAATGTCAATACACTATTTGTTAATAATTTTGAATGATTATGTAAGTCATGTTTTCCGAAGAAGCCATAACAAAATCGTTAAATTATCTTTTAACTGCAAGATAGAATTAAAGTTAGTGGAGTAACATCAGTGAGCTGTCTTAGAAGTGCTTGAAATACAGAAAAATAATTTGCATGTGAGGGGAGTGGCACTACTGAGTACTGAACCCAAATAAAAATAAAATGCTCGACACGTGCGTCTCATGTGCTCTTCATTAATTAAACCCATCGTCCTCCTAAGCAGCGGCAGCTTAATGGGGATTGTTAATTTATTGCTAAATCAAACTTTCCCTACTTTTTTTTTTTTTTTTCCTGTTTTACATTAAAATAATGTCCGCGCCACAACGAGCGCGCTTGTGAACTAATATAACACTACTGGCAGTCATAATGTCACATTACTCCCTGATCTCCGTATAAAAGTAATGCAGTGGTTCACCAAAATTAGGAATGCATACAAGTTGCAGGAAATATACGATCCCGTGAATGAAATGGTTTCATCGTAGTTTAATTTTTTATAGTTGGATCAACCCGTAAGGGCAATGATTTCATCGTATTTTCTATAATTGGATCAACACGTTCGTATAAATGTGTAATTGTGCGATATGTACCTGTAGAAAACCAGAACAGGGCCCTAGGTTTGAAGTTACTCGAAGTTGCAGTTCAACTTCATTTAGCTATTTATTTTCATTTTCTTTGCATGGTTACACTTGCCCGTCATACATTTTTTGAACTTAATTTGGACGCCCTTTGATATCTGGGATTTTGGACAAACTAAAACACAGTTAGTATTATCAACAATTTAACAGAAAAACCAAAACTGTACTTGGAAGAACGAACAAGAAATTTATCGAACCCTCAAAACCTACTTCTATTAAAACAATACCTAACAATTTAGCCAACTGTTCTAACACCATAGGATGTGAAAATTCAAATGATTATAATGTGAATCCTACTATCAATATTGCACCGACATTAATTCCCCCCCGAAGATAATTCTATCCAACAGAACAGTTATGGAAATGTACCACACAACAAATGTATTCTACACGCTAAGGAGAAAGCAGCAAAATACAATTGTAGTTACCACTTACCGGTACAGAGGCAATTCCCTTACACAAGCAACAAAACTTTTCCTTCAGCCTCAATCAAATGCTAAATTAAGTACCAAATAAAAAAATCTCAAAAGTCCTCCATCAAACATCATAATCAACTTACAATAATAAATTCAGGGCAAACTTAATTACTCATCATTCTGACTCTCATCTTTGACAAGCTTGATCATGTCATCAATTCGAAGAATTGTAATAGCAGCTTCAGTAGCGAACTGAAAAAAATTGATCAATGCAATAATCATTAAAGAAATTGTTAAAAAAATAGTAACAGTAAATTCATTGGCATTCTCCAAGTCATGTAACGTAAACATCTAATTTGAGCAGCAAACCTGAATTATCTTCACTTTACTCATTGCAGGCTCAATGACTCCAGCTTCCAAGTTATTGCGTATGGTACCCTTCGTCAGGTCTAGACCCATGCTGCAGTCACAAAAGAATGTCCCATCAATTACAATTTTCAAAAAAATATTCAATGTACTTGCATAAAAGCGGCAATGTGGGAAGCAAATAAGAAAGCATCCAAGCTTGTCTAAGGGCACCCAGACTCTAAGATCAGGTTCATCTCTGTCAACAGAAAACAATGGGGTGTAAATATCAGAAAACTACACTAAACATTTTACGGCTGATCTATGATGACATTCAATTCTTACAAAAACACATTATACCCCTGATGTGTTATCAACACCTCCTGCAGTCCATATTTACCAACATATAACTCCCTAGAGCGCTGAGGACGCAATCTGTAAAGAAAAACAAATACTATTTTTGCTTTTTTTATTTTTTTCAATTTCAAATATACCCGATTTTATTAATTTGGGGTAGTGGGATCAGAGATCTTTCTAAATCCCTTACAGGCTTAAGAAGCTCAGTTCCATGAAAG